GGGACGGCGTGGGCAGAACAGGGCCAGGTTTCTTCCACGCACCTGTTCCATGTCTGAGTCCAAAGCCACGTCTTCCTTTTCCTCCTCTTCCTCTTCACTGGAGGAGGGGCTCCCTTCTTCCTCCTCCATGGCCATAAGAACTGAGCAGAGAAGTAGACATGACCCGGGGTCCCCAATCTCCCTTTCGCTTCCCCAGCATGCCCCTCCAGGAATCCCAGCACCACCTGCCCATCCCCACCCTGGGTCAGCACCTCCGGCCAGAGCAGTTACCTTGGGGGCTCTGGATTGGCACTCCCCATCCCAGGAAGCTGCCCTCCAGGGCCTGGCGGGCCAAGGCAGAGCAGCTGCGGGGGGGCTTGGGTGGAGGCTCCATTTCCGGGTCAGGGGTCAAATTAAGGGAGGACAACCTCTCGCGTTCTGGGCTGGAGAGGCGGATCGGCCGACGGGGGGGCTGCTTGGGGCTTGGGACAGAACTGGCCCCCTCCTGGGGGGCCACGGGAATCGAGGGGCCGGATGGCATGGGGAGGTCCTAGAAAAGCACCGTGTGGTCTGGTCAGTGACCTGCCCAGTGCAGGGTTGAGGCTACCCCTTTAGACAGATGTCGGCCCTGGAATTCATTCATTTACTGGACAGTGTCTGCCAGTGCCCTGAATACTTGGCTGCAGCAGTAAGTGAAACAACAGAGATCCCTACCTACATTCTAGTGGGGAACATTCAGTTACCCCCGGCAAAGTCCTCTGGGCTGAATGCAACGCTGTTATGTTCCCGCCCCCAGCACGCACTCAGCTTTTACCTGACTCCCGGGGCCCCTGTCATTGCCCTCCTCTGTGTGACGTGGCTGGGGCAGGTGCTGGAGGCAGTAGAAATGTCCTGGGGAGGGCAGAGAGGGGGAGAGGCTTCAGATAGAGGCAGCACATGGCCAGAGGCTCCATTTATCAGGGAGTGGGGTGACAGGGCTCTGGGTTTGCAGGTGAACTTCCGTTAGCCTCCTGGTTCCTTAGAACCCCACATTTGGGGCTTTGGAGGAGACAGAGATATGAGCTCAGGGGAACCAAGTGCCATCTTGAGGCTGTTTCCACCTCATGCCCAGCACGCCAATTCCCCTCCACCTTCCAACTCCTTGCCTCCAGGCAGGCCATGCCCAAAGTCCCTCTCGGGGCCTCCTGGGCCCACTCACCATCTCCTGGGTGCTGTCCGTAGCTACCTGGCCACAGTGTGGCCTCACAGACATGGCAGCAGAAGCAGCTCCGGTGGTAGAAACGGCCGTCGGCACACAGGCGTTCCAGGATATAGAGGCGTTCCCCACAAAGTGCACACAGGTCCTCGCCACCAGCCTGCACCCAGCCCCGTGCCACAGGGTCAGCTGGAAAGCTCTCCCCTATCCCTGAAACCCCCTCCCTGACCCCAAGCCTCTGCCTGCAGGCAGGGCCCCATTCTCACCTCCTGGTGTGAGGGGGGTGTCAGGGGTACACCAGCCTCTGGGACAGGTGGCTCCTCATTACTGGGGGACTCGGCCTCTACCTAAAGAGGTAAGTGTTCAGGCCGGGAGGTAGAGGTAGAGGCAGGATCAGCTGGGGAGTGGATGTGTGCAGATGAATAGGAAGGGCTGGAAGGGAAGGGAAGGGAGACTAGGAAGGGAGACTACAGAGGGGTGGGCGGGGGGAGCAATACATGGGGGCACAGAACATGGGGAAGTGTCCCGGGAAAGGGACCGGTACATAGGACGGGACTATCCAGCCCTTGCATGTATTTACCTCCAGGCGTGGCTTCTTGCCACCTGCATCCTCCCCGTTTTCCTGTAACAAGTCCTACACTCAGCATGGGGCTCTCCCCTTCCCCCATCACCCCAGTGACCCCCACTGGGAACCACTGCCCAGACCACCTGGGCCCGGGTCCGTTGCAGGGTCCTCTGCAGTTTGCCAAGGAACAGTACAGCACTGGAGGTCCCCAGGGCGCCTTGGCTGGCGGGGCCTGCAGGGAGAGTCGGGGTATAAGGGTAGATGGGCCATACTGTGCCCCCAGAATAGACCAACCACAGTCCAGCCCAAAGGGACACCTCTCCCAGGCTGTCCCTCAGAAGGCATCCTCCTCTCTCTCTCTCTCTCTCTCTCTCTCACACACACACACACACACCCCTCCTCGTCCCACCCTCCAGTTCACCTGGGCTGTGGCCTGTGCTTTTGAAGGCACTGTGAAAGTGGCTGAGGTAGGCGATGAGGCCCAGTGGGTCACTTCCTGCCACCACTGCCTGTGCGGACAACACGGGTGTGATGCCCAGTTCATGTTCTGCCATCTTCAGCGCCCAGCCAGTCGCTTCCAGAGCCCCAACTCCCTGCAGCTCTGAGGGTTCCCTGTGGGTATCAGGAGAGAAGCCAATGGGAGACCAGAACCTGGCCCCATCAGAGGGGGAGATGGTGGGTATAGGGACAGTGGGAAGGGCTGGGGGAGTGTAAAGGCAGAAGGCGGAAGGGTTATTCTTTTCTGTGCTATACTGCCGCCACCACCACGATCCCAGGACAACCTCTGGCTTGGGGATCTCTACCACTCACAGAGCTGCCCCTGTTGAATGCATTTGATTCTTATAAGATTCTCAGGCAGGAGGGCAAGCAGATTCAGGCAGGAATACTACCCCTGGGGAGGGGAAGTGACTTGGGCAAGTGGTGGCGCTGGGACTCAACTGGGTGTGCTAACTCCCGCACAGTGATCTGCCCACCACTCCACACTGCCTGAAGTAGAGGAGGGGCAGAGGTGTGAAGGAGAGGTGTGGTCTGCCAGGGACCCCTGAGCCTCATTTGCAACTCACAGCAGGCCAGGCCGCAGTCGGTTCACCAGGGCACACAGAGCCAGCCCATCGGCCCAGGAGGAAGAAAGGTTGGTGACACGGACACCAGGATAGCCAGCCGTCTGCTCCTGGCACCAGCGTAGCAGTTCCTCCTGTGTGCCCGCTGACCCTGGGAGAGGAGGGTGTGCTGTGCCCAAGGCCCCTGGTCTCGCAGAGAGCCCGCTGCTAGGGTGTAGTTGGTAGGAAGAGGGAGGCAGGGTCCCGCCCCTACTAGGGCACCAACCTGACACCATCAGCAGTACCTCCTTCAACCCAACTTTCCCATAACAAACAACAACGCTTTTCTGGAATAAAGTGAGGGCATGGATAAGGGGCGATCACTGCTAGCCACATGGACGGCAGCAGGCTATGAACTGAGGAGCAAGGGAGGCCCAGAGGCTCAAGAAAAGGTGAGCTGAAGTCTGCAAGGCTGGGAGCGGTCAGGCAGAGCAGCCGAGCACAGGGCAGCATGGCAGCCATTCAGCTGCTGTGGAAGTAGTGGTTGAGGTGAAAACTTCCACACACTGGCCAACAGCTGCTGCTGAGGGCTCCACTGCCCCTCCCTCCACTCTCCAGACACCCCAAACCTGCCCACCATCAGTGCTCCAGTGCCTGCTCCGGGCTGAGGGGGCAGCTGTTCTATAAGTGGTGCTTAGCCTCGCTGGCCGGTAAAGATTTTGGACATGCCCGGGAGGAAGGCCTGCTTACCACTGTCAGGCTTCCCCGCGTCGGTGCTGTCCTTCTTCCTGGGCCCGGGCTCCTTGGCCATCACGTCATACAGGTCTCGCACCTACGGCAGCCATTTCAGGTCTCAAGGCAGGCGGACCCCCCTGGGGTAGGGCCAACTATGGGGTAGGACTGCGCAGGTCTGGAGGAAAGGCCTGCCCTGGAGGAGGGGCCCCCCCGGGAAGTCTGGTGAGGGTGCCAGGGATGCTGACCTGATTGCAGGATACGGCCTGGAGGTTCAGGTTGGGGTAGCGCGTGGCTGGGTCCAGCCCATACTGGGCCAAGTTGCGGTGCATGTTCTCCGGGGATGTCTGTGAGAGGAGCTGGTACAGGCTCTCGCTGGGGTGGGAGCGGTAAAGGGGGGGGCAGGGACATGAGTCAGAGTGCACCCATCAGCAAGCACCCCTCTCTTTGTCCAGGCCCCCATCTATTCACCCAACACTCCCCTCCCTCCACCAACGTCCCCCCAGGCCCCCACCCCCATCCTATGGCTAGCCCTTTCCTGCCCCACCCCCTAACTCAGGCCTCACCGCTCTGCCAACACTTCTAGGGGCCCAGCGCCCTCTGCCCACCGCTTCACCATCCAGGCGGCATCAAAGGCTGCCAGGAAGCCCCGGGCCACTCCAGTGCCCAGGGGCCAGAAGGGCTGCAGGGTCAGAAGGATAGGAAGCAGCTCAGAGTCCCACAGGAGTGTCCAAGCCCAGATGCTCCCCAGGTCATTAGAGAGGGGGATCCTCCCACAACAGGCAAACTTCCCCCCCCTCCCCCCCACTCAACCATGGAACCCCTGTGCCTCCTTTAAAGGAGTCTCTGTCTCTCTAAGCACCATTAAGCCCCTCCTCCTCCCCCACTCAGGGAACCCTGACTCCTCACCTCCACCAGGCAGTCCCCCACCAGCCCCAGCAGCAGGCGGGCACCATGCTTCTCCTGCACGCGAGCAGAGCTATCTGCCCGCATCATGCTCGTGAAGTCAAAAGCAGAGACATCAGGCCTCCCTCGGGCGTCTCGGGCAAACTCCAGCTTCCCGAGCTTGCCCTGGGTGGCGAACTCAGCAGCTGCCCGGGCAAAGCGCTGCAGAGCCTCAGGCACCACGTTGGCACTGCTCAGCAGCCGCTCGGTCTCTGGCCAGTCCTGCAAGGCCAGCAGATCAGAACCGACGTCAGCTGGGCAGCCCTGTCCCCTTGAGTGTAGAAGGTACACACTCAGGCCCCAAGAAGGGCTTCCCCGAACTGCACAGCAGCTGAAGGCTGAGCCGGGCCCAGCATGAGTGTCCTGCCTCCCAGGCTCAAGCCCCTCCCACAGCACTCACCCTGCTCCTGAGCCCAGAACCGTTGCTGCTATATCATACACTTGCTTTGGACAAGTCACTGAATTTCTGAGACTCTCAGTTTTCCATCATTTAGAAATAATACACCTAACTTCTCAAATCCTCGTGGGAATTAGGTGAGAAAATGCAATGCATATAAAGCTCTCAACACAGTACCTAGCATATTATAGGTGCTCGATTATTTCTTTCAGCAAATACTTATTGGGCACGTACACAGCCCAGGCACCATTCTAGGTACTGGGAATAACCAGCAAACAAAAGAGGCAGAGACAGAGCCCCTGCCCTCAGGGAGCTGACAGCTGTAGTCCTGTGGCTGGTGTCAGGGGTTTAGCCCAGAGTAGGATTCAGATTACCAGCAATCCCAGGGGAGAGGAGCTCGTTAAGGTGGAGGAAAGGTCAGGCCAGAGACAGAACAGGCTCTCTCCATGCTAGGGGTGGAGGGTAGGGCAGGCTATGTCCCGGCCTGGCCTCCAACTCCCAGGGCCCACACCTAGCCCCTTCCTAGTTGGGCCTGGCCTCACCTGATGTAGGACCCCCAGACGCAGCAGGCACTGCTTCTTGGCTGTCATCACAAAGTAGTGTGTGTCGTCCTTGTAGTATACAATGTTTTCCAGATCAATGCCTGGGGGGCAGGGCAGGGGGCAGGATATGTGTCTCCTCCTTTTATATGTCGCCTCTCCAAACACTGGAGCCATGCCCCACCTCTCTGACTCCAGTGGGTGCCCCCCACACAGGAGCCCATGAGTTCTGATGGCACAACAGACCATCTGTCCCAGGCCCGGGAGGCCGGAGGGCATGGAGCAAAGAGAACGTGGGTGGGGCAGCAGCTGGGAGACCTGCAACACGTGGGCACATGCTTCTGGATGACAGCCTGGCTTCTTGAACTAGGGTGTGCACGCCCCATGGGGTGTGGCAGTGCCAAACCAAAATAAACATGGGGCATCTTCTTGAAGTGCCAATTTCATTTTGAATTTACATCGCTTATATATTAAAGCATATATAAGACAGCGCCAAGCAAAATCCCACCCATTCTGTGAGAGATTTCCAAGGCCTGTCATGCTGGATAGCAAAGCGGGGCTGTGCCTGCTGAATCTCCCAGGGGCACCGATTCTTTGCTGCCAAGAATCCTTGGACTGAGGACAGGTCTGGGCGGGCAGGAGAAGCGGGAGCCAGCCCACAGTCAGGCAAGGAGAGGGACCCCCCACCCATGACAGAGAGGGGCCCTGACCTGTGGCTTTGAGCAGGCTCTGGAAGAAGCTCTGGTTGTAGATTCTGGCCACACCACTGATCTCGGGCACCTGTGTCTCTTCCACGGTGCGCCTGTTCACAAAGTTGACTGTGATGCCAATAGCCAGTTTGCCACGCATTTCTCGTACTGTAAAGCCTAGAGGTGGGGGCAGGAACGCAGTGGCAGGACGATGAGGGGTGTAACAGCCTAGGAAGGCCCAGGAGAAGCTCAAGATGCTGACGACTTCTAGGAAAGGGCTCACTCACCTTCCGGAACGAATTTACCTCCAGCAGCAGAGATGAGGACATCAAATTCATAGCTGGCCAGCTGAGCAGGGGGATTGGGCTGGAGCTGGGCACGCCAGCCACTCCCTAAGGCAAAGGGTGTGAGAGGCACAAAGGTGTGGGGATCTGAAGGGGCCCCTATATTCCCAGGACAAGCCAGTGACATCATTAAATAAATGTGTTAAAGGGCTTTATGGTTTAGAAAGCAATGATACATTGTCAAAATACCTTTACAACTTCCCATGGAAAGTAGGGAGGGAAGGGAATACTACTCCCATTTTACAGATGCTCAGAGTGAGGCTCTGAGCAGTTGGCACAAGGCCACACTATTAGAAAGGGAGACTCACTATTTCTTCCACATGCCAAGATGTCCTTGGCAGAAGGCGGTTCTCCGGAGCAGAGAAGTACTTACCCTTTTTGGGAGGGGGATGGAGGCCAGTGAAAGCGACGCCCCAGTGAATTTCCACTCCCAGCAGTAATGCCACTTTCAACAAAAGCAGCTGAAGCTGCCGGATGCCTAGAAGGGAGAGGACATTAGGAACAGGGACCCAGGACCACAGAGCCTCCCCAGGCACCAGTCTGCGCCTGGTCAGAGCTGGAAGTCTTAAAGATCACGCCATCCAACTGCCCATTTTACAGATAAAGGACCTGAGTCCTGAAGGTCACCCAGATGAACTGAATCTTGTCCACTCTGCCTCTTGGCTGGCCCAGCAGAGCCCTACAGGGCTGTCTCTAACGCAGGCTCACAGCCCATGCAGGCCGCCAGGTGTCACTCACTGATGTGGTCCAGGGTGCCCGTGCAGAAGCGCCCATAGAACTTCTTGGCACCGAGTGCCCGAAGGTCGTGGATGGTGAACGGCCAGAGGTGGAGCACATTGTGGCGAGAGAACTTGGTGCGCTTTTCCACCAGTACCACGCGGGCCCCCAGCAGCGCCAGCTCCACAGCAGCCCGCAGACCACAAGGACCAGCGCCCACCACCAGGCACTGTGAACACACAAGACAGTGTGGGCGTAGCATCCCATCTCCCTCCTCTAACTGTCCCCACTCTGCAAGCCCCATCCCAGGCACCACGTATTCACCTTCGTGTTGGCGCAGGCCTGGCCCTGCTGGTAGACGGGATGGCTTGCTCGCTTGTCCAGCTTGGCCCACAACGACTTGGCGCTCCAGTAGTTGAGCTGAGCCTTCATCTTTTGGTACTGGGGCAGCCCCCCACCAGGCTCCAGCTCCAGGGCCTGGCATAGCCCCTGGAAACTGCTCAGCACATTCTGACACAGCTGGGCCTGCAGGAAACTCTCAAAGTGGGCATGTGCTGGGTTGGTGGACGTGGGTGAGGCCATGGAGGCCCCTGGATCCCTCAGGGAAGGGAGGAGCTGGACAGAAGTAGAGGATGCTGGAGAGGAGAGAAGAGAAGGAGGGGAGGCTAGAAAAAGGAGGAAGGGGAAGGGCAGGGGAGGAGAGGAAAGCAGGCCAGGTCCTCCCCTGATTGGCTCTGCTTCTCTCCCCCAGCCCACTCCCAGTCTGCGCTATAGACAGCTGCTCTCCCTTCCAAGTGAAAGCGGCCAAATTTGGCAATGAAAAATCAGCAGTCCTGTGCACAGATGGCACACAAGAGGCGAAGGAGCCACCAGCTCAGTGGCCCCTGACCAGGGATCTCCAAGCCCTGCTCCATCCCTGGGGTCCACCAGGCAGAAAGCGGAGTGTCGGGACATTTCTCAGACATGGACAGGGCGTGTTAGCCAGGAGCGATTTCCTTGTGGGGCAGACCACACACCTGCAACCCCAGCTGCTGGGCACACATACTCCCCCACTTTAACCCACGCCTCCCGGTGCCAGGTGACCCTGATGGCCTCAGTGCCACGTGGGTGTGGGTGTGCCTGACACCAGGGGCAAAGTTTTTCTCCTTAGCACGGGTGATTCCCTCCTGAGGGAGGGCAGAGGCGTCTGTAAGGGCGAAGGTTCCACTTCCCTCCACCCAAAAGGCCCCAACCAACAGAGGGAGGATGTTGCCTGTCACCACTGACTGGGTGAGGGAGCACGGGTGTACTTCTGACTCACTGTGGTCAAAGACACTTCCCCTGTGAGACCTGTCTTCTCCAGTGGGCCTCCAGGGCGGAGTGGGGGCCACAGCAGCCTGGTTCCCCCTCCCAGCTTCCTCCCACCCCCATCCAAGACCCGCCCCATCCCCTGTGGGCTCAGGCGTGCTCTCCTAGGAATTTCCCCAAACAAGGCCTCCCTTTGTCCCCCTTCCCTGGCTCGGGCCCCCACGCACACTGAGGAGTGACCAGGGGGCTTTCTCACGCTGGGGCCTGGAGGAAGGGGGGGGCACGGAGAATGGGGTTGCCGCTGGGGGAGTGGGGAGAGGTGCGTGGCCTCGATGGGCGCAGTTCCCCGGGATGGATCGA